CTGGGTGAAGAAGAGATCACAAGGGGATGAGGGTGGAGCCTGGCAAAGCAATGAGAAGACCACAGAGCCCACGAGGAGGGTGGGTGGTGAGTGTAGACCTGCAAGGGTGGACTGGAGAGCTCTCTGGGAAGGAGGGGTCACATGACTCATAGTGGACAGGAGGTGAGGGAGCCAAGGGTGGAAGAAGGCAACCTCATGTTTCACCCATGCATCTGGATGGCTGAGGACAAACACTCATCTGAATGGGAGTACGCTTGGGGCTGAGAACCCTGGAGCTCAATTCAGGGTGCCCCGAGATACACTTGACTGTCAGGAAAGGGGGACCCTCCCAAGGCGGCTGCTGGGCCTCAGACCCCAGGCAGCCTCTCACCTCCGGAGCCCAGGAATCTCTTGCCATCAGCCACTGTGGGATACTTGGCCTCCAGCCTGCGGTCGGGGTAGATGAGGTCCTCTGCCGAGAAGACCACACGGCTCTTCGCCTGCCGGAACTTCTTCAAGAGCTCCCGGGGCCCCGAGGCAAACACCACGTCATAGCTGTGGCCAGAGCAGGGAGAGGTACCTTGGGGCCCAGTGACAGGGCAGGCCCCCAGCAGGAGGGGACACGGGTGGAGGCCCACAGCCCCTTCCTCCTACGACAGCCTGGGCCACCATCTGGGAAATGGATCTGCCCAGGGGTATTCAGGGCAGCCTGTGAGCCTCACCCAAACCTTGGGAAGGGATGTTCCCCATAAAGGGTCCTTGGTCTGTGCAGCGGGCCTGTCATTCCCTCTTGTCTTTGCCCCAAGAGTGGAATGGAGTGGGCTACACTGGACAGCCTTCTCCAGGAGTTCATGGATCCCTCAAAGCGAACAATCTTAGCTTGAGTGACCCTCCCTATTCCGATGTCCACAGGGCCCTGAACGGGGCCACCCACCTGTCTGTGAAGAGAATGACCAGGTCTTCCTTGTCGGCGTGCTTCTCCAGCGCCTTCTTCAGCAGCCGGACCTTCTGTCCTCCACCTGCTGTCGTCCCCCTCTCCATGTCCCAGTCCTCTCCCAGGCCCAGTGCCTGCACAGGAAGGCTGCTTACCACCAGCTGAATCCCACCTCCCCACTGGGCAGTGGGCACACTGCACTGCTAGGCTGGCGCCTCTGCCCCATTCTGCAGGTGTGAGGCTGACCTGGCTCCCAGAGGCCATGTGACCATGCCTGGCCACTCAGAATCTCCTCCCCCAGCCACATTCCCTCATGTTGCTCCCGGCAATCCTGGATCCAGCTTCCCCTGAAGCAGCCCTCTGCTTCAATGCCCACTTGCATAGATGATCCACCTTCTTTCAGGCTTTCTGCCAATCTGTGTCCACAGCTCCACCCCCCAACATCACACCAGAGACTTGCATGCTGAGGATACTGAGCCCATGTCCCTCTCGGTCACCTCCTAGAACAGCCTCACCCTACCCTTCCTTGGCCCCACTTACACTCTTCCTTTGGGCTTCCCCAAGCCACCCTGGATCCCCAAGTCTGACTCAGGAGCGCTGGCCGCATAAGAAGGGAAACACCAGAGCCCTGGGCTCCTCCCCCAAGAACCCCTCACCTGGATCTTGTAGTTGAAAAACTGTGCTGAGCGCTTGAAGCGGCGGAAGCCCTCCGTCTCCTTTGTGGCCACAGTGAGGACTAAAAGGTTATCTGCGGGCAGAGGGGCATGAGGTGAGCAGAACTGGGTGCCAGGTTGGCAGGCAGCAGTGGTCATTGCTCAAAGTAACCTGCCACATCCCGGCAGGACGCATCTTCATGCCAGCCCGTTGCAGATGGGGCCCAGCCTGCCTGGAAGATTCCTCAGCAACACTGGGACAGAGCCTGGTCTCCCGGTTCCCTCGAGGGGCTCTTGGCTATTAGCCCATGTGTCAAGCAGCAGCCACTGGTGAGGTGACCACACTGGCCCTGTGGGACTCGGGCCTTGAACAGGGACCAATGAGGAACTGGCTCTGAGCACTGCTGCCGGGAGTCCCTCCAGCCAGTTTCGGACACAGCGCAAGAGCAGCAAAGACAAAGCCTGGAGGCCAGCACCCTCCGCGCCTGTGTCCAGGCAGACATGACCACCCCACCCTGCAGACCCCCTAACTGAGCCACAGGACCTTCCTGACGCCAAGCTCAGGCTGCGGCATCTCTGATGGAAACCAGCCTGAGCTTTCTCCACCAGTCCAACCTGACCTTCTCCCTGACCTTCACGGGGGAGGAGGCTGTTCTGACCTTCTGAACAACGACCTCTCCCCTGCTTCACCTCTGCAATGGTACCTGCTAGACAATTCCTGAGACCACAGCTCTCTGAGATTCAGTTTCTCCCTTGGAAAGTAGAAATGGTAACAGCACCTACCACCTGCTGAACCGGTTAAAGGAGCCTGGCATACACAACGCAGACTGGGATTCCCGGTGCATGCTAAGAGCCACCGCTCCTGCTGACCGGTGCGAGGAGGATGCCTCACCTGGAATTCAAGGGCCCCTGTCTGTAGACTCTGAGATCTCTCCTCTCGCCAGGGGTCCTGCCCTGGGCTCCCTCTGTGTCCCCTTTCTCTAATGGTCCTGCAGCTCCCAGGACCAGTGACAACGACACTCCTTCTCTACCACCTCTCTGAAGCCTTCTCAGATGTTTGCCCTCTCCAGCCTGGCAGGCAGGAGCCACTTTAGGGCACTCATTATGGTTTCTTGTGTGAATCCCAGTCCCTCAGTGTCCAGGCCAAAGGCCAGAGGGTAGGGCCCCTCCCTCTACCAACAGGAAGTCTGGAGTCGCGCTAGAAAGACAAAGGGACTGGCTGGCCAGGGCTGGCAGATGCTGAGGTGCAGCCTGCTGGCCCCAGGACTGGGGCCTACGGGTGCCAGGCGGCTGGCAGCAATTGGCAGGAACCAGCTGTAGTGGGCATTCCCCAGGCAGAAGGGGTGGGTGCTTCAGACAGGTGCAGAGAGTAGGGGTCCAGGGCAGCGGGAGCAGCTCACAGTGGGAAGGGCTCCCCCAACTTCTGCCTTGATGGTGAAGTCTCTACCAGGTAAGAAGCACGTGCGCGCGCACATGCACGCGCGCGCACACACACACACACAAAGCACAGCGACCAACTCTGGGGCCTGAAGGGGGCTGCTGAGGACCGGAAGAGTGTCACATTTCATGGGTGGAAAAAGCCAGTGTGTATGTGAGAGAGAGAGGGAGAGGGAGAGACAAGAATATTCTGGATTCTCGCCGGGAACAGGCTCCCAAACTGGGTGGCAGGGGAGGGGACACGGAACCACGATGTGTCCCAGGCTCCCGCTTTCAACTAAGGGTAACAGTGGCGAATCCTTTCACTTCAGGCTGGCCGCATTCTGTCCCAAGCAGTATAGACACTGACCCCACTCCAAGGCTTGGTTCAGGGGTGGCGTGTAACTTGCCTCAGGGAGCCAGGAAGCAGCAGCACCAGGGCTTGGACACAAGCAGCCCAGCTCCCGAGGGGCCTCCTAACCTGACTGCGGGCACTGCCTGGGTTTGGCACGGCATCTGCAGCAGGGCCCTGTCTCTGTCCAAGGAAGCCATCTGGCTGGAGGTAAGGAAGGTCCCCCAGCCACAGTAGACCCTGCTTACACACCCCACAGCCTCCTCCTCTTCCTCCTCCTCCTCAGCCTGCCTCTTTACCATGTTCCTGCTTGCTACCAAGTCTCTTGGGCCATGCAGTGCTCATGGGCCTGGCCAAGGGTCCCATACATCAACATCATACAGGAGGTTTGAAATCCAGGTTCTGGGGCCCCAGGGCCCCGGATCTCCCAGACCTACTGTTGGCCACATTCGGGGACACTAGGCCACCCCTGGGTCCTGTGACAGCAGCAAGAGCTCAAAGCACACCCTCTCCAGGGACTTGGCATCAACCTTTAATATCCCCCAAAAATCACCCTGTTACTCAGTGTCCCCACGCTCTTAGCCTCTCTGCAATGCCTCCTTCTTCCTTAAGGAAACACTGTCTGTCTCCTCCAGGAAGCCCTCCTCTCTCTCATCCCTGTGGCTGGTCCCTCAGCAGCTCAGCAGTGGACACACTGCTGCAAAGCCTTTCCTTCTCCTTTGCCACGCCAGAGCCTCATCTATCTCCCCACTGTCCCATCTCCCTAGTTGGGACCCAGGAGGATCAAGACCTAGTACGCTCTGTCTGACCTCAAGGAGTAAGGTAGAAAGCTGATCTGAGCGAAGGTGACTTTGAGATTTACCCTCTAGAAGGCAGATAATCCTTTTTAAAAACACTGTTGGGGTTTTTGTTTTGTTTTTTGAGACAGGTTCTTGGTATACAGTTCTAGCTGTTCTTGAACTCACTATGTAGCTTACACTGCCCTGGAACGAAGTGATCCTCCTGCCTCAGCCTCCCAAGTGCTGGGATTACAGGTGTGTGCTACCACACCCAGCTGTCCCCCTCAAGACCATGCAGTGAGAAGGGACAGAGCAGGTGGTATTCCCATCAGGTAGACTCTAAACCTCACAGTCTTCCTGCCCAAGGGCCTGACACAGCAGAGTGCCAACAACCAAAATGCCACTGACGAGCCACTGTAGACCTCTCTTGGGCATCCCAAGGCGGGTACCTCACCCAGACACTTGGGGAGGCCTTTTCTGATGCCTTCCATCTGGCCTGGCTCTGGGCAACACATGATGCGAGGATTCGGCATCAGGGCCCACTCTGTGTTCACTCAGCCTCCGCTCCGGCCTCAGGCCCTATCCACGTGGAGGCTGGCAGCTGGCGAACTCGGTCCTGCTCACCTGCTGCCCACCCCAGCAGAACAACCCAGCTGCAATTTGGGCCAGAGGAGATAAATGTAGCACTGCAAGGTAGAGTGGTAAGGAGAGAAGTTTGCATCCAAGTGTGGTGTTGCATGCCTGTGATCCCAGCACTCAGAAGGCCAAGGCAGGAAGATTGCAAGTTCAAGCCCAGCCTGTTGCTACATAGCAAGACCCCTGTCTTCACCTCCCTGTGCCTCAGTTTCCTCATCTGTACTAAGAGACTCATACCGGCACCTTTCTCCAAGGATGTGAGGATTCAGGGAAAGATGTTGGCAAAGCCCAGCAGGCTGCCCAGGAGGAAGCTCCTGGAACAGAACCTTTGGGGTCCTTAGGAGATGGCTGAGCCCCAGCCCTGACTGGCAGGGCCCCCTGGATGCCCCTCTCCCCCAGCAGCACCAGCCCAGCCCAGGAAGGGGTCAGGCTTGGTACACACATCAGGCTACTCACTAAGGAGGGAATGAATGTGTGAAGTCCCTTCCCACCACATTCCCAAGCCGGGGCCTAGGTTTGATTCACCACATGGGAAAAAACATCTAAATGGGGCAAGGGAAGCTGAGCGGCCTCCCGTTGTCGCCCTACCTTCGGCATGCCTTTGTCGCCCTACCTTCGGCATGCCCTCCTACTGGCCACCTGCCACCACACGCCCCAGGGACCTCAGCCACATCCTGAGTCCTGCCCTCCCAAAACAAGAGTGGCCCGGTCCTGTATGCACTCTGCCCTCCTCCTGTGCCGCGCTGGGGCCAGGAAGTGGGGAGCCTCACTTCACACTGTCCCACTGCTCACTCACCTCTCTGGGCTTCATCGTGGGCAGCTGCAGTTTCTCTCCTGGGATGATCTGGGTAGAGGGGGGCCGTCAGCAGAAGCAGGGAAAGCGAGGCCCAGAAAAAAACAGAGGCTATTATAGGGCTGCTGGCTGCTGGCCAGGGAGTGGACCAGGCCGATGTAGGCCCTTTGCACACGCTGCCACCAGCGCTGTGCTCAGCGTCTCCCATGCTGCCTTCTCTGACCTGTCTGCGTGCCAGGCTGAGGACGCAGGGAGGGGAAGGAGGGGAAGAATGTGCTTGGCGAGGCCTGTTAATGCAGGGAGCTGAAGTCTCATTCAAGGCCCTGGCATCGGCTCGCATTCTAGAGGTGAGCTACGATGCCCTGGTGCGAGGCTGGACCCCTAATTCTGATGACGATTAAGCACAATGACTCTGCCATCTGGAGGATTTGGCCCTAGGCAAATCCTAGGGCCAAAGGAGGTAAGCACTAAGGGGGTAACAGAGATACAGTGGCTTCCCCACTCTGTTCCCCAGCCACCCCAACACCCCAGCCTCCAGGTTTTCCACCACAGTGGGCCGAGTGGAACGGGGTGCCATGGAAGGTACAGCCAGCTTGGCTTGGCTTGGCTGGGATGCTCATCTTCTTCCGCCTCCCTGGGCCCTCGGTGCCCAGGGGGCAGCCCTAATGCTGGCCCAGGGAAGGGCTGGCTGGGGAGAGGGGAGCCTCCCTCAGACACCTACTCCACCTTGGAAAAGTAGAAGGAGCACAAGACTAGGAGCCCTGCAGAATAGGGACCTACTTCACAGTCAGACCACCCTGAGCAGTAGCTTCCTTTGTCTGAGCCTCAGTTTACCCACATGTGAACTGCAGAGAAGGCCTCCAGGCAGGGGCCCCACAGAGGCCACAGTGAAAGCTCCCACTGCTTGGCAACTTCCTCCCATTCCACCCAGGGCCCTGCACCCCTGCAGCAGTGAGGCCCAGGAGCTCAGGAACCAAACACACCTGGGGGTTGGGGATCCCCCAGACCAGCACAACCCTGGACTGTGAATCTGGACAGTGAATGCACAGGAGCCTCAGGTGGAAAGTGGGAGTAAGGGAAGGCAACGGCTTCCAGAGAGGCGATGGCCCTTAGCTGACCTCTGTTCACTTGGCCGGGACCAGCACTAAACGTTAACGCTCCGCGCTGAATGGGACTTTGATGTCACCTTCTCCGGCTTGCTGCACGAACGTGGGAGCCGCAGCCCCCAAGTGATTTCAATGAGTCACCAGGAGTAAAAGGACAAGTGGCTGGAATCCAACACCTCGCAGCCCCAGCTCAGGCCTCCGGGACCCACGGATCTTCAGTGAGGCCACCGGGACCAGACTCCGCGCGCCTCCCGCCCCACCACGCGCTCACCCTCCGGTTTGGCGTCGCCCTTCGCGTCCACCAGGAGCAGCCAGCCCAGAGTGGCCAGGAGCAGCCAGCCGAGAGGGGCCAGGAGCAGCAGCGGTCGCATGGCCGGGGTCTGCGGAAGATCGACAGACGCGGCGGCTGCCCTCGCTGGACTGGAAACTTCGCGTCGGGGCCGGCGGTGGCTGCCACGCACTGGGCTCCGCCCCGGGGGCGGTGCCGCGGGGTCCCCACCCTCACCCCCACCCCTACCCCCGGCGAGGTTCCTTGCCCGCGCCTTGCGTCCCTGCGCCCCCGGGTCCTGTTGCCGCCGATCTACTTCCCGCCCTCGGATTGGAGCCAGGAATGGGTGGAGCCGCAACCCTACACCCCAGATTCTACACCAGGAGCCGGGATTTCGTGTACCTATACCAGTCTGGAGCCTGGATGTCCTTACCCGGAAAGCAGGGTTTGTGACAGCAGCTAAGATTGGGGTCTGGCAAGGAGGATGACGTCGGTCCCGGGAGCACATAGAACAGCCCTGGTGACAAGCCCGAAAGTTGTGTTTTGGGACCACATTGGTAGGGGTGAGGTTGGACTGGGACGTGCACAGAACCACAGATACCCCTGCTGCAGCCCTGTGGGTTCTGGAAATGGGGAAAACCCACTTCCTGTCCCCCCCCCCTCCACAAACCAAAGGAGTCAGTTAATTCCAACCCCAGGGCCCAGCCAGAATTGCTCTGGGAGGGTAATTGCTGGGCCAAAGAGTGAATGAACACATGAACGAGCCACTTAAGAACCTCTTCACAGACACCCAAAACCCAGCCTACAACCCCAGGGGCTCGGAGCAAAGGCGGGGAGTGGGGAGGGAATGTCCTCAAGGAGGCTGAGGCAAGAGGCTGGGTGCCAACTCAGGGCAGGCTACATTCCTGAAAAAAAAAAAAAAGTAAGGAGGCAGTTTTTGGGCCGGGGAGATGGCTCAGTGGAATAAGCACTTCCCTGACAAGCACAAGGGCCTGAGTTCGATCCCTGGTTCCTGAAAAGAAAAAAAAAAAAAAAAGTAACGAGGGCATGCTACACAATGAGTTCAAGGCCCTGCTGAAATATATAGTGAGATCCTATGTCATATGAAAACAAACAAAAAGAAAGAAAGAAAACAGAAATAAATAAGTAAATGAATAGAAAATTATAGCCAAATGCTTAGGGATTATTGCTAGGTTTGAGAAATGTGTATATAATTATATACATAGTTTGTATTGCTATATATGTTGTTTCATGTTATTTCTGACATGAAAATTTAGAAAAAAAATTTTTTTCATTTGTGTATTTTGGTACAGGGTCTCACTACGCAGATCGGACTCATGGTGAGCCTCCTGTTTTCAGCCTCCCCAGGGCTGGATTGCAGGTGTGCACCACCACACCTTGAATCTGTCACTGGCTTAGTGAGCCCCAGGGCCCGCATGGCATGAGAGACTAGATAGATAATTTTTATCTTTTTTTTTTTTTTTTTTTTTTTTTTTTTGGTGGAACCGGGGATTGAACTCAGACCCTTGCACTTGCCAGGGAAGTGCTTATTGCAGTGAGCCATCTCTCCAGCCCCAGATAATTTTTATCTTTAAAAAAAAAAAATGAGTGTACACTCAGGTGTGAGGGCACACACCTGTAATCTCAGCACTTGGGAGGCTGAAGCAGGAGGATTGCTGTGAGTTTGAGGTTAACCTGGGCTGCAGAGTGAGTTCAAAGTCAGCCTGAACAATTTTATAGTGAAATCTTGTCTCAAAGAGGTGGAAAAAAAAAAAGGGCCGGCCAAGTAGCTCAGCAAATTAAAGCACTTGCAAGCAGGTGCATGGGCCTGGGCTTTGACCCCTGGGGCCAGCGCTGGCCCTGCCCCTGGGGCACGCTGAGACAGCAACTGAGACTGGGCATGGTGGCCTGCACCTGTAATCCCAGCTCTTGAGAGGTTGTAAACAGGCGGATCACTAGTAGTGAGACCCTGAACAACCTGTAGACTCTTCCCTAAAATAAAATTTTAAAAAAAGAAGAAAGTAAAAAAAAGAAGAAAGCATATACATTATTTGTATAATTCAAACAGAAGGAAAGAGTTGTTTTGAGAAGATGGAGACAATCCGGAACCAGGGAGGCAGCTCTTTGCCTCCCTTCGCTCACTGCTCAGATGTGTCCAGAGGGACCAGCGTGAGGACTGAGGTCACAAGGCCAGCACCGAAAAGAAGTGTGCTCAGAATCTGCTGGGAGCAGCTGCAGCTGGGACAGCACTTGGTCCCAGAGGCTGCCGGATGTTTTGGATTCAGGAGGATACAGATGGAAGAGGAAATGCAGGGATGGGAGAGAAAGGACAGGGAGCCGGCTTGCAAAGCGCTCTCTCCTTTGTGCTCAAGTTGGACAGGACTGACCCCCTCTGCGAAGGAGGAAACTGGGGCTCAGTTCTCTGAAGCAATCCACCCACGTCACACTGCTGATGTGGGACATGGTGGGGCAGCCCTGGGACCCAGCTCTAACTTCCCTTTGCTGGAGTCCCAGGAAGACTCCCCTCCTTGGTCAGGCGCCACAGACAGAAAAGCATGCTTGGGCAGTGGGACGAGCTCTGTGTCCCCATGTCCATCCTAAATCAGGAGGGAATTCATCTTGGAGGGTGCTGGCCTTTCTAGCAGAAAGGACACACTCTGGTGAAGCCTGCCCTCCACCCATTTGGTATCCACTTCCGGTCCCCTTCAGCAAACTGCTAGAGCTTGAACGTGGTCCAAGTTTCTAGGAGGGCCTGTCTCTTTAACCAGCAATGGCTGCAGCCCAGATGTTTCTCCCAGTGCGTGCAACACGTGCTGTGGGCAGTTAAAGGGGCAGGCTCAGCTGTGCTGGGAGGTGCAAAGGCTGCCGGCCCACAGGGCAGCTGGCCCGTGCTGCAAGGGCTTTCTCTTTGTGAGCTGAAAGAAGAATCTTGGCTTTAGAGGGATGGACACTCTTCACTTCCAACTGGTCTGTCACTCTCCCATCAGCATGTAGCCCCAATAATTATAGGATTTCCAAGCTGTCCTCTTAAGTTAAAAAAAAAAAAAAGTGGGGTATGAGCATGTATCATACGCTATAATTCCTTATTTTTTTACTTTGTGGATTTTTGACACAGGACCCTATTTTGTAGTCCAGGCTAGCCTTAAGCTCACTGTGTACCTCAAACTCGTGGTGATCCTCCTGCCTCAGCTTCCCTAGTGTAGCTTTACAGGGGTGTGCCACCTTGCCTGGCTCTACATGCTGTATTTCCTGTCCAAGGAACAAAATATAGATCTGTGTTTATATTTGTAAGTAAGTAGAGTGCTTGGAAGAATATCTAAGCGACAGATAACAGCAGGTTCACAAGGGGAGCGGGATATATGAAGAGGGGTCCCAGCGGAGAAGAAGGTTTAATCATCACCCTTCACTCTTTTGTGCTCTTTGCATTTTGCATCAAATAGATGTTTGGCATTTCTTAACCAAGTTAGTTGAATAATGAGTGGTCAGTTCAAACCACACCACATGATGCCCAGTGTGGTGGCGGCCATGGTGTGATGGTTTCGTTTTTTGAGACAAGGTCTTGCTGTGTAAGGCTGGCCTCGAACTCCAAGCAGTTCTACTGCCTTAACCTCCCACGTGCTTGATTACAGGTGTGTGCAGTTGTGCCTGGCATCACTACCTATGTATGTTTTGGTGATAATCTTTTTTATTTAGGGTCAGGGTGATAGCTCAGGGGCACAAGCGCCTGCCTGGCAAGCGCAAGGTCCTGAGTTAGAAGATTTTCTCTTTCTTTCTTTCTTTCTTTCTTTCTTTCTTTCTTTCTTTCTTTCTTTCTTTCTTTCTTTCTTTTGTTCATTCTTTCTTTCCTTCCTTCTTGTTTATGAGCAGTCTTGCTGTCTTACCCAGGATGGCCTCAAACTCCTAGGCTCAAGTGATCTTCCACTCCCGGCCCCCAGATGATAATCTTTAAAAAAAATAAAAGATAGCAAAATTTAAAAAATAAATAAATAAAAAGTAGCAGATCTGGGCAATGTAGCTCAGTATGGGAGTCCTTGCCTATGGTGCCTGAGGGCTTGGGATGTATTCCCAGCATCACACACACACACACACACACACACACACACACACACACAGAGGAAGCATATCCTAAAATTAGGATCACCCAGACAGGTGTCTTCCAAAAAGCACCAGCCCTTGACCTCTGCAGACAATTCAGTGTCAGCTCACAGGCCACAAGAAGCCACCTCAAGGGGCTGGTGAGATGGCTCAGTGGTCTAAAGCACCTACTTAGAACAAGCTTAGCTAAAGCCCAGAGACCGCGGTTCAATCCCCCAGCAC